CATTCACCATGAAAATTTTGTACAAAATTCCTTAGGCGCCGAACGCCGCCGCCGCACAGTGCCGCGACTCCATACAAATGATGGACAAAAATAGAAGGAGTGGTCAGAATTGGCTGAAACTTCACACCTAGAAGTATTAGGCCTCTCTAATTTCAAAAATGAAATCGGTTTTTCTGTACCGGTTACTCATTTCGAGAAAACCGAGTTTTTCTTGCATTTTTATATGAAAATAGTCATTGTGGACATGTGTTGATATAAGTGGAAGGAGGCATCAGAATGGGCTGAAACTTTACACCTGAAAGGACTATATCACCGCAATTTAAGAAAAAAAAAAACGTTTTTCAGCATCTGTTACCATTTAATTAAAAAAATTTTTTTTTTACAATTTTATAAAAAGGTAAAATAATTCATAATCATCGTAGACATATGTTTATAAAAACCGAAATAGTATTCAGAACTTGTTGAAACTTTACACCTAAAAGGACTAAGCCATGGTTATTTCAAAAATGAAATCGATTTTTCGGTACCGGGTACCCATTAAAAAAAAAAGATTTTTTTTTTACATTACTATATGAAAGACAAATGAGGCATAATCATTGCTGATTGTGGTGTTTACGAAAACCGGAAGGAGTCGTCAGAATTTATTGAAACTTTACATCTGAAGTGTCTATATTACTCTAATTTTAAGAAAGTAATCGGTTTTTTTGTAACGGGTACCCATTAAAAAAACACCGAGTTTTTGCACATGATTATTTAAAAATGAAATATGGCATATCATTGTTGCTAAGTGTTCAGAAAAATAGTCTTAATAGTCAAAATTCGTCTAAACTTTACTTCCTAAGTGAATACATTATGGTAATTTGAAAAATTAAGTCGGTTTTCCTTACATGTTAACCTTTAGAAAAAAAAATTCTTTTGATTTCATTTAAAATAAAGCATAATCACTGTTAAGTAAGTAAGTAATAATAACTGTTATATGGTAATAACATATAATATGTTAATAAAAACCGAACTAGTTGTTATAATCACTCAGTTTCAGTGTCCTCAGAAGAGGAGGAAGTGATCACTGATTCAAATGATTCCATGCTTTTGTCTGCTTCGTCACTTTCAACAATGTATTTATTAAAGCTGAGATCAGAACCCTTTAAATATTTGTTTCTCTGTTTTATATTTCTTTTAAATGCAACTAATGGATCTGACGATAATATCAAACGAGTCATTAAATCCGTATTGCCTTGTACTCTTCCAGTTTTTCGAGAATGATTAAGCCGATATTTTCTTATGTTTTTGTGTGAACATTCTAAGGCTTCTTCTGATAATGAACCTGATAAAATAGGTGGAAATACAGATTAAGAAAATAAATGAAAACATAGCTTTAAAATCATTACCTATTGGTAAATCAAAGTATTTAATTACATCACATCCATGTACTAAAACTTTATGCACTGAACTTGGCATGTTATACCAACCATAATTTCTAAGGTATAACTCTCTTGTTTCGTTCAACAAAACACTAAACTCTTGGGTTTTTATTTGTTTTCCACAAGAGAGGACTCTTAGCACCAGAGAAAAATTCATGAAATTTTAAACTCGCGTTGAGCAACATTTTCCACTAATAGTAAAACGTTGAAATTTTTGCACAGGTAATGTAATTAGTTAGGTGAACAAAATTATAAAAAGACTCAATCAAAAAAAAAAATATTTAAAAAAATTGGACCTCCCTGATGTGCATACATTTGTACTATCATTTTCGCAAGCTGTTTTTGTTTGCTGCTTAAGCAAAATAGTACTCTTTATGCAGATGAAGAGTAATAGGTATGTTATTTATTTTTATTTTCTTTTTGTTCGCCTTTCGTCTAATCATTGGGCGCTGTAAGGTGTCTCGATTGCATTTATTTCCTTACCCGAATTGGTTAACATATTATTTGTAAACTGGTGTCATTGCTCTATATATATATATATATATGTATATATATATATATGTAAATCTTCGTATACCTTTGTTTTTGGCTCCCATACCGTGATGCATATTTAAGTATTTTAATTAGCTGATAATTTTTTTCATTTCAAAGCACCCTGTACCTCTTAATTTTTTTTTTTTTGCACTTTTAGCTTTAATTCAACGCCTTATTTTTGAAAAGCGAACCAAAAATTTAGATCTTAGGGCATTCAGAAAAAGTATTGTAAATATAGATCAGCTAAAATAATACCAAAAAAAGGCATTTAGTCACTTTTTCAAAATTGAAAATTTTCAAATATTGGAAAAAGTTGGAAGAGATTTCGATTGTTTCTGTTAGTAGAAGGTCCAAACTACCATAACCAAAAAAAAAATTTCACGAACTTTCAAGATGTTTTTTTGTTTTTGTCTCCAAAGTTTACCAATTTTCGGATTTTGGTATGTTTAATCATATATTTATTTATTAATAAAAAAAAATATTTGTATAAATTTTTTTTCCATGAACCATACATTTTTTGGTTTGTCGCATATATCTTTATCAAAGTGCAAAAGTTGATCTTGCTAGGAATAAAAATGTATTTTTAACAAATTTTTAACTGCGACCACTTTTATGTGCGAATCGCCGAAATGAAATGGTATGTAGAAAATAGGTGTACTTTGAGGGGGTGTGTGAGGCTGAAAGTTGTTTTTATCACAAAATAACTTATGAACTTCTCTTAGTTGGAGATTTAGCTGTAACTTGACATCAAAACATCTAAGTTTCAAGACAGTCGATTTTTGTATTTTTGTCCACCTTCGCGGCACTGTGCGCCGCGCCGATATTTTCGTAACTCGGCGTCGGCGCGTGAGTAATGACAAAAAACGGCGGCGGCGGCGGTGTGGCTCGGCGGCGTATACCTCTACTACACAAATAAATTCTAGGCCGTATTTAAGAAAAGTAGCCTACCTTCGACAATTTTTATGCGATTTTAATAAATGAGGTATCAGTTTGTTTGAAAATAAATGTAATTTTAGGCAACGCCACATATTTTGAAATTGTGGAAATTATCGATGGTCAAAATTTAAAAAATTAAGAGAAATATGGGTTTTTCCCGATGAAAAATCTCAACAAGGCAAGTTCGACAATAGATTGTATATACCATTTTATAGGCCTATATATGCTCTTCTTAGATCATATTCGATCACTGAAATCGAAACCTAAAAATAGTCATTCAAAAACTCATAAATCCACAAAATCGTATTATCTGACTTAAATCGACAGGTCGCGATCTCTAAATGACCTTTAAAAAATCTATAAAATTGGCAATAATCTTTCTCATAAAAACATATAAAATTAGGGGGTAGGGTCTTGAAATTTCCAAGAAAAAACATTTTCGATGGGCACCCTATTACACACATTTTCATACTTTATTAATCGAATGTAAATTTTACGTAGAAATCAAACCTTAACTGACTTTCCAGTAAAGTTACGTTCGGCTACTTATGTATGTGTTAACTAAGCACTTATACACAAAGTTCAGTGAACAAAACCATTATGTGACACTTCTGAAGTCAGCCTCTCGCTCCCTTCCCTTTCGTTTCGACAAAAATTACGTGCGAAAGGATGGAGTAAAAGTCTATTTTGACAGACAACAACAAAAACATAAATACCTGAGATCGTGAGATCATTACAACGTACGCCAATAAAACAAAATATCTTATCACAACTAAAGCACAAAGAATTTTTCGCAATGCATGCACCTTTTTTTATTCTTTATAAAAATACAGTTTATACTAAATACATTAAAAAACATACAAATAAAATTTCTAAACTTTGTGCTAAACTCGGGAAAATTCAATAAATTTGCAACTTTCTCATCAGATTTTTTATAAAAATTTTGAAAATGAAGTTTTGCAGCCCATTAAATTTTAGTTGACTTTTATACCCGAGCGCACTTGTGCACATAACGGTTGTTTGTAGTAGGCAAAACGAATCGAGAGAGATATACACAAATGTATACATAAATGACCAGCATATAACGGTAATTTTCAGCAATACGAAAACTGCGATTATTTAGTAACTACTGCAGATTATTCACTCAAAATTGATACTTACGATAATTTTTAGACGAAAAATAAGAATATTATAAATTTTTGGAAAATGGGCGTAGCCACGCCCACTTATGGTTACATGTGTATATCTTGGTAACCGCTGCACCAATTTCTCCCAAACTTGGCACAGTTGTTAGTCTTGCTACAGCATACCAAATGGCCGAAAATTTAAAAAATCGGACAATAACCACGCCCACATCCCATATAACGGTAATTTGGAGAAATACGAAATCTTCGATAAATGAGTAAATATTAATGGCCTTATTCATAAAAAATAAAGTAGCTTTAAAAAACGTTTATAAACTGAAAAATGTATGAAAACGTCACTTTATAAAGCTCTTTAAACCTACTTTATTTTTTATGAATAGGGCCATCAAATTTATTCAAAATTGACTCTTGCAACAATTCTTTACCAAGAAATACGTTTATGATAAAATTTCGGAAAACGGGCGTTGCACCGCCCACTTTTGATTACATATATGTATCTCGGTAACAATTCTACCAATATGTACTAAACTCGGTATGGTTATTGTGCTTGCCACATAAAAGCAAAACGTTGAAAGTTATTGAAACCGGACTAAAGTTAAGGCCGCTTTTCATATAACGGTACATTTCAGAAATGCTTGAAACTTCAATATTTCGAAATTTAAGGACGCTAATTTACTTAAAATTGATACACCCCGGCTTGCCATGTAGCATAAAGAACTTATAAAAAAAAGAATGAAAACGAAATAAATTAAAATTCTACTGGCCGTGGAACTCGAACCCACAACCTTTCGGCTCGTTTATCCGCATTACTGCCCTCTGTAAAGGTAAAATTATTATGCGCATATGTGCACCAGATTATATGCATAAGCTTTGCCGTCTGTCACAGCTTTAACGGAGCTTTTAGTTAAGATTTAAGTTAATTGACATAAACGATTAAATGCCCGTCTTGAGTAACGATAAAAATATGGATATTTTTATACGTGAGGAGGATGTGTCCTTGGCACAGGTGGGCATTTATGCTTCCATATCCTTTCTGGTCGTGACTGTCGCTGGTGCGCTTTTCTACGTTTCGTGTTCGAAAAAATATCGCCTAAACTGGTTTGAGAAAAATCTACTTGAATCAGCTGCGGAAACTCAGGACCCGGAAAAGTGGTGAGTTTGAAAAATATTTGATTGAGTTAAAAATTTTAAATTTTTTTCCAACCTCTCAAAGAGCTTTAAAGTGAAATTGTATTCCTTTTTTATTAGCACCGAGTTGCCGGCGCTGCTAGCTTTAATTCGGACAATGTTAGTGAGTGTTCGCGTTCCCGTTCAATTTACAAAGGTAATATGAGTCCCACATCCATTAATACCGATGATCCCAGCTTCTGGGTACCACCGCCACGCAAGACTGTGCAACAACAGGTTTCCACATCCGCTGAAGAGTCCCCACCGCCATCACCTACCTCTCCAACTGGTAGTCTCAAATCGAATACTCTCTCAATGTCTTCGAGAAGTTCGGTCCCCATTACACGCTCCGACAAGCATGTAGTTTTGGGTATGAATCCCAGCAGACCGAAGGTGTCCTCGATGAGCGCAAAATTGGACCATACAAAAATTGATATGTCGTTTTATAGAAATGTGAGTAGTGAACGCTCTTGATAACAGTTAAAAATTTATAAACCAAAGTAAGCACTGCTTTTTTATTTAGAACTCCCAGCAGAAGACCTCACCCCAAGGCAGTGATGATATTCGTGGCAATATTCATTTGAGTGTTATCTACGATCCCATAGCCGGAATGCTGTCTGTGCATTTGATAGAGGTTAGTGTTAAGGAAAACTCCTTGGTTAACTCAACGTGCTCTCTAATTATTGTGGGAAAGTTTTACTCAATTCATGTTGGGTTTCCTATTTGTTAATAGCATAGTGCAACAAACTTCAAAAAGCTTGAAGTGATGGAAATCGGACCAACTGCATTCGATTCAGCTGTTTAAATTATGAAAAAGTACTAAATGATTTGAAAAAGTTGGTTACCATTTTTTTGAATTCCCATTTGAACTTAGAAATCTTTACTCTTATAATGCCAATATGGGTGTTAACACTTGATTGGTTATCAGGTTATGAGGCTAAAAATATTATGTATACTGTTTACGACAATAAATACACTGTAGAACAGGGTTGCCATTGAAAAACTTTCCTATCAAGAGCGGGTTTAAAAACCTACCAAAATGGTTTCCTCCCATTTCTTTTAATCAAGAAAACGGCGTTTGACAGCATTAAATACCTTTATTTTTTCTGGTTTTTATACTTAAAATAAGATATCCAGTAAATGAAAAGATCAGAATGGTAGAATTCTGCCTATACCAGTAAGCAACGAGGTTTTAAATGAATGAGGGTAAAATTGATATTATTAAAATTTGGCAATCCTATTCACAGTGCTAACAAAGTGACACATCACAACAAGCCAGAGATGTTTTCTGTTTTATGTGCAAAGAAACCTACCAAAATTTTAAGCGTCCTACCATCCTACCAACGAGAAAAAAAACCTACCAAGTTTGGTAGGAAAAGCCCAAAACGGCAACCTTGCTATAGAACAATAATTTTTAATCAAATAACCTGATAACCAGGCAAGTTTGAACACTAACAATGTATAATTTTTCTTTATTTAACAATGTACATTGAGCTTGAGACCGTTTATATTGAAAAACTATTGTGGAAAAACAACAATATTTTATAAATGGTGGTGGTCTACACACAGTGGTAAGTTCGCCTTATAAACTGTTCCAAACGCCAATATAAATTATTTAATATGATTTATTAGGCCAACAAATAACTACAAAAAACTATATTTCGTTTTTTTTTAACCGAGGAGGATGTTATCAATTCGTCGGAATATTTATTTATTTTTATGTATGTTACCGCATAACTTTGGACCACGTTAGCCGATTTCTATGATTTTTTTTAAAGGAAAGTTGGCAACTTTGAGGAGGTCTCATACTAATTAGTTTGGTTTAGATCCGATCATTTGATCATAAAGAAATTAACTGCACTTTTGAAATTTTAGATGAGAATTGAAGTCCTTTTATTTGCCAAAAATTACTTGTTCAAATATCTTTTGAAATCAATACGTTTGTTCGTCGAAAATCCAGCAAGTGTTGCCCAACACTCAAAATATCAGAGAGTGAGAAAAAATTCTCTCAAATTCTCTCTTATATAGAGAAACTTGCAAATTTCTGCACGAACGAAAATATGCAAGAATTTGCAAGCTGGTGTCTAGGGTTGCATTTCAAACAAAATCAATTTTTATAAGAATTTCTAACATTCTTTTAGATGGACAAAGAACAGGATATATGCATATGTATATTTCTTGTTCTTCTGACTTTCTTTAACATACATTTAAATTTCGTTATCGTATTAGCTGTCGGGTTTCTTAAATCGAATCTGGTTGCGATTGCATTCGGATCACGAATAAATTTTTCTTTTCAGCTGAGTACAATACAAATCATTGGAAATAACTAAGTTAATTATATAAACAAGATTTTATTTAACGAACTAATTTATTCAAATTATCGTCGACAAAAATGCAGCCATGTGCTACAATAATATATTGTTCTTGCTGACTAAAATTTTTCTAGCAGGAATTTGCAAGTTCTCTCCAACAGAACTGTCACTTTGCGCTCTCAGTTTTTGAGTGGTGTTATCCAGCCGAACGCGATTTGAGCAAAAATCATGATAATTCGTACAAATTCGTACAAGTTATTTGCTCGACGAACAGAACTAATGTTAAATCAGAAAAAAAAAACTTACATAATTGAGTTAAACAATTAAAAAAGTCTATGTTCGGGCGAGGCCGAACATTAAATTTTCGGCACACGTATTATATATAGTTTTTTTTTCACTTCTCCAAAACTACAGCTACATGGTAGGCAGGGATAATTTTACCCATATTTCAAACATTTTCGATAGCATGTTCAGTTACACTCTAAAAAGTGCATGTAAAACCACTACTGAAAAGTGTTTATTTTTCAATCAGAATCTGTTCAAGTATACGCACAAGATGTTCAAGATTCGATTTTGAACATGAGTTGTTTAAAATATACACATGAAATGTTTAAAATTACAAACATTTTGAAAGTAAAAATATAGTTTTTACAAATAATAAATACTAAGTGCCAGGGCCGCACGCAGAAATATATATTTTTGGGGGGAAAGGGTTTATACTTCTAAATATATATCATCAGCAAATACTGAAAATTCGCTCTTTAAAATACATTTATGAAAGTTTTATTTACAGTATGAAATAAATAAATAAACTTTTTAAAGTATCATCAATTGCATTTTATTTACATAAAATTTACAAAGAACTCAGGCATTTTTAACCGGCTTAAAAAAAGGGGAGGTTATCAATTCTTCGGAGTATTTTTACTTCTTTTATTTATTCCACCGCATAACTTTGCTCCGCGTGAACAGATTCCAATAATTATTTTTTCACCAGAAAGATGGTACCTTAAGGGTCGTCCCGTAATTTGGTTTAGACCCGATCATTAAATCATGAAAAAATTAACGGTTAGAGATCCACTCAACTTTCAAAAGTAATACAACATTTTACAAAAGAGTTTTAATATAAATAAATTAAATAATTTCACGAAATTTTTACACTTTTTTATTCATTTTCGTCAATTTCTAATTTCTCATTTTTTAATACTTCGAATAACGAAAATTTAACTGAACTTGTATTTTTATCATGTAGCTCATTTTGGTGGAACGAATTCGCAGTTAGCAAATTAAATCTTCGAATGCTTATTAAGTACAAATCAGTGGTAAACTTTTTTAGGCTGTAAAGTGTAAAAAGCAACAGTAAGTGAGTACGCATTGCATATTTTTAGGACAATGTTTTCATTCGCAGTTAAACTTTTTAAAGAGCTCTCAAGAAAGAAAGAAAAATTCTTACAAAATGACGCACAAGAAATGGAAAAAAAAAATTTATCTTTCAGAATTTCTTATATCGTAATAAATTTAGCCCCAAAACCCACCGCTTGTGTGCGCTACGTGACAAATTTGATATGTAAAAGTAAACAGACATTGTTTAATTTTGCACACACTAGGAGAGGAAACTGGTTACCTCTCTTTATATGCGTAAATTTAAACGAAAATTTTTTATAGGAAATTTTAAACATTTTATGTGTAAACTGCGAAAATGTGAACAATAAATGTTTAGAACTCAAAAAACAAATTAGAAATTTGTTCTACGCCACACATATGATAAGTAAAAGTAAGCAAGCAGTGTTTAAATTTGCATTCATTAAGAGAGGAAACTGGTTATCTATCTTAATATGCGCAAATTTAAATAAAATTTTTTTAGAGTGTAGACTTAATAGGTACTGTCTCACGATCAATATTTATTGACGTGATCCAAGTATCGCGATATTTACTGACCGTGTAGAGCATAGATGGGCACACCAATACAGTCTCATTTTGTCATGGTATTCGTGAATCGCGCTGAGTAACAGTTGCCACTTTTCTATATTGTACAAAAGTGCGTCGTTTTTTGCGCGTGTAAGAAAACGCTCTTACAAATTTATATTTAATTTGTATTATGAACATGAAACGAAAATAATAAAATATAATAAAAAAATTATGAAGAAATAATTTCAAATAATGAATTATGAAATTAAATGTTATAAGTACATATGTACGACGTACGTGCATGAAAAGTTTTTTAATTTAATTTCATTAAACTAATGTTTTAAAAAATGATAGTTTATTCAACAACAAAATTCACGAATTTAAAATTTCTAAACTTTGTAAAAAACTCAGTATTCAATAAAGTATACTAAATATATTAAATTGCCGTATCGTACATACATATATACATAAAACCCATTACAAAAAACTTTAAATTGGTTTACACAGTTCGGCAGTTTGACTTTTTTACCATGACAAATAATGTCGCCTTATATTAAAAGAAAGATTCCAAGTAGTCGTATTACCACATAACAAGCATTGGGCATTATTGGCTTTTCTTAAAACCGAAAATTGTAATTGGCACTCATACGCAGCCATTTTGGGCATTGTTACATATATAGGTGGCAACAACGCGCTGAAATTACGAATAAAAATATTCAACAGCGAAGCGTGATGTCACTCTCATGAAAACTGAAAGCAGACTGAATTGAAATTCGCTGCGTCGTTTCTGTATACGTATAAGCGCTGCGACGCAGACGCTACTCGCGAGCAGTGTTGCCAGAACTTTTTGGGCCGACCGGCTAGATTGGCAAAAAAAAGCGGCTAAAAACGGCTAAAATGTTTTAGTGAAAATTCACATGCTTTATTTAAATAAATCGCAAGAAACGAAAGACTAGTTAACACCATTAATTTATATCGAGTGTATATTCCTCATCATCAAATGAATCACTATTGTATATATCACCTGAATTCATTAATTTTAAGAGATCGTCATCTACAGTAAAATTATGGCAGCATTTTTCTTCACGTTTTAAACCGTATCTTATATATAAAATAGCGTTTAACGTTTTAACGCACATTGGATTTCTTTGCTTAGGGCATTTCGAAATTGATAAACTTCGGCCCAAAATTTTACAGTTGAGTCTAAATTACTCCAGGTATGTAACGTTAACCGTTGGCATTGCATCTCTATGGATGTTATTTCGTCGGAATTATATTTGTGGTTTTGTTGCTGTAGTTGAACAAATACTTTTGGTTTAATTACTCTTAATGCATTTCCAACCGAAAAAAGTCAATTTTTTTTAGTGTGGCATTATTTGTAGGGAGGCGTTGGCGTAATTCCTTTATTAAAGTGATAATAAAATAGCGACCATTTTCTCGAATTATTTTCTCGGCTTCGTGGTCAAAAGCGTTTGTGCTTACTTTTGTTTTTAAATACTCTTCAAAACTGTGATAAAACTGAGGAAATGGAGCAAGGTATGGTTCCAACGGGGAACATAGATGCGAAAGTAAAACATTGAGTTCATTAAAAATCTTCATTGGGTCTGCATTATTGCTTTCGAACAACTTGTTTACTTTTTGCACCTGAAAATTAGGCAAATAGTAAAATCGGCTAAAAACGGCTAACTTTTTTTTACAAACCGGCTAACAAATCGGCTGCCGGCTAGATCGAATTTTCTCCGGCTAGTTGCTATCAAAACCGGCTAAATCTAGCCGGAAAACGGCTAAAATGGCAACGCTGCTCGCGAGTACCAAAACGTGTACCAAAATACAAAAAATTTACCAAAATAGGTTTAAGCTAAATATTTAATTATTCAAATATTTTAAAAATACACATTGCCCATACATATATGTAGTTGTCGTACTCCTACCCTGTCGGAAACACCAACAACGAAAATGAGTTACCCTTTAGAAATTATTACCTTGTAGGGCTACTGGAAGGATACTTTCGGTAACATTTTGTCTTTGAGTTTAACGAGGGATCCTCACAGATTGGTTTAAAACTATCAAGAGCCCTTGAAGGTCCGGCTTCTTATGCTCACCAAATTGCTGCGACACAAATCGCTTCAGCAAGCCTCATTGTCAATTAGTATGGTATGTGACGATTAGAGTGATTTCGTAGGGCAGGTGCGCATGGCTCCTATAATGGCTACACAGACAGATCGGTGCTTGACTTTTGGCCTCCTGGACGGTGCTTACTAAGTACGTAATAATCGGTTTTGTCACTGTATTGAATGCCCAAAACGTCAGTGCCTCTGACAGCCTAGTTGTTAACAGCTATGAGAAGAGACTTTAAGTTGACCCCTGAATGCTTCGCCTCTTGTGATAGAAATTACGGAGATTGATTTCTCAGTCAGTTTGAAGTCTCCCTGCAATCTAGAGGCAATATTGTCTTCATTGTAGCCCACCACGATGATGAGTAGCTTATACTTGTTATATACTTTATGGCTTTTCCAGGATATCATGCCTAACGCTTCTTTGTTCTGATATTATAGTCCTGGATTCAATATGCTTATGTTACATGTAGTTATTACATTGGGAATATCTTCATGGCAGGTCATGGCCTTGGATTTTGCTTAAATGTCAAGAAACCCGTAAAGGACTATATGCTTATAGCAATGCCTTTTCAATTACCTGAGTTAGTCAATGTGTTGCCGTAATAGCAGATTTCCCTGATTGATATGGTCATTGGCCTTCACACAAACGCTTGAACTCTTTAAGTAGGTATATGATGTAAGTAATAATTTTCTCATTTTGTCAGATTAAAAAATGTACCAATTCTGAAAGTTACGTACCTGTGTACCAAACTGGAAAATATGTACCAAAAATGGTACATTTCGGCCAAAACGGAAACCGTGGGTGTAGAGCATGCCCAACGTTGGCAGAACTCCATAAGCAAGTGCCCTGCGCTGGCAGAATCCCATATGAAAGTGCCCTGCGATGGGCATACCTGGTGTAGAGCATGCAATATTGATGGCTATATTGCAAAATTTCTACATATTTAAAAATCTGGATCGTGGATCGCAATACCGTCAATAAATATTGAACGTGTGGCATTTTCAAAACGCGATCCATACATTTCGTCAGTACATCTTGTACTCTCATAACGCCAACATCGAAAACATATGAATTCTGCTTTCGCTCTCGACGCTTAAAACCTTTCAAAACAAATTGAAAATATTTAATTTTGCAATGTTATTGTGGCTTATTAACATTTAATTTTAATATTTTTATTGAGCTTTGTAACACGATTAGTTTATTAGGAAAAATTGGAAAAAGCAACAAAGTCTAAGCGGTAGAAGTTATAGCAGCTATTTCGGAGATCACCAAATCTCCTCATCAGACTTCTTTTTCTCCAGACTTAAATTTATATTATAAATTTCTTTTTACATTGTTTGTTATAATAAACTTCCATCGACTATAAAGCTGCATACCGAAAAATTCATATTAAAAAACCCGAAATTTAGACGAAAATTTTTGGAATTATTGCAAATAAAGCTTTCATCCTTGATTTTAATGGGCTTTGTTAAATCGCACACAATATTTTTATACAAACAAAAATAGCAAAAAAAATATACTTGAACAATATTGTGAATATTAAAAAAATCGTCAAGGCGTTTTTTGAGTCACTGTATTAGTCTATAATAAATCCAGTTGAAGTTTTTTTCAAATGATGAAGTTTCGTTGTTGCCTTTAGTTTCATCACTTTCGCTGTTGGTTGAAGGAAACCGAAAAGATGTCATCAATATGATCTTAAATGCCTAATCAATAGTTAAATAAAAAGTTCCTTATTAAAAAACTTTTAGTCGGCCGCTGTGGTGTAGTGGTAAGCAGTGCACGCTGCTCGGGAGGCAATGGCAAACCTCCGAGTGTATTTCTGCCATGAAAAACAGCTTCTCATAAAAATACAATCGCCGTTCGAAGTTTCTGTGACAACATCAAGACGCTCGCCACAAGTCAGAGGAGAAGCTCGGCCAAACACTAACATATGTGTAAGCGCCAATCTATTATTATTATTAATAAAAGATTTTAATTTCTATTGAAATAGAACAAAACTATAGTTTTTATTAAAATAGCTAGAAAAAAGTTATTGGTAAATATTTTTCAGATTTGGTAAATTTTTTCAAGTGGATTGTAAATATTTTTATAGTCAGTGGCAACCCTGGTAGTGGCAACCCAACAGTTGTGTGAACAATGTTAGAATACCCTTGTGTACAAGTGCACTCGGGTAGAAAAATGGTAACTAATTGTTACAAATCTTTTATCCCTAAGGGCCATTTTCTGAAATAACCTTTAACTTTAAGGTTCACTTTATATTTAAAGGTTGGATTGAAAATAAAGCTATGTCTAAAGTTTAGCATTTTTTTTTATCGGTTTTTTGCGTATGTATGTTTCTTGGTTGTAAACTAATTTAAACCCGATAATAAAATGCTTTACTTTAGGCACAATCATAAATTTTAATGCAACCTTTAAATATATATTGAGCTTTCAAGTTACAGGGTACTTGAGAAAACGGCCCTAAATGAATGAAATTTGTCTCATGCCCATCACTATTTGAGCGTGTCACTATGTTGGTAATACATATGTATTTTTTTGCATACATCTTTTAAGGCACACAATTTGCAACCACGTGACTTTAGCGGCACAGCTGATCCATATGCTAAAGTGCGCCTTTTACCGGAGAAGAATTTCTGGCAAACACGCATACATAAAAGAACCCTTAACCCAAGTAAGCTGAACGTATTTTATATAAAAACAAGTAAGAAAGTCTAAGTTCGGGCGGAGCCGAACATTAAATACCCGGCGCAAGTATTAAATATATGTTTTCCACCTTTCCGAAAGCTACCGCTACATGATAAGCCGGGGTGTATACATTTTAAGTAAATTAGCGTCCTTAAATTTCGAAATATTGAAATTTCAAGCATATCTGAAACTTACCGTTATATGAAAAGCGGCCTCAATTTTAGTCCGATTTCAACAATTTTCAACGGTTTGCTTTTATGTGGCAAGCACAATAACCATACCGAGCTTGGTACAAATTGCTAGAACGGTTAGCGAGATACATATATGTGATCACAAGTGGGCGGTGCTACGCCCATTTTCCAAAATTTTGTCATAAACGTATTTCTTGGTAAAGAATTGTTGCAATCATCAATTTTGAATAAATTAGCTTCAATATTTACTGATTTATCGAAGATTTTGTATTTCTCGAAATTACCGTTATATGGGATGTGGGCGTGGTTATTGTCCGATTTTAGAAATTTTCGGCCAATTGGTATGCTGTACCAGGACCAACAACTGTGCCCAGTTTGGAAGAAATTGGTGTAGCGGTTACCAAGATATACACATGTAACCATAAGTGGGCGTGGCTACGCCCATTTGCCAT